GGGCGCATACGTGGCATCCGCCGGGCGCTGAAAGCCTATCTCGCGGCAACAAACAAGCAAGCAACAACAGCAGCGGCGACAGCAGCGGCACAAAGTTGCGTTTTCTGGCTCCAGCGCCAGTTTCTTTGCCGTAAGATCCAGCTTTCACGGACGGCGATGTTGCGGCCACCTCGGGCGCATGCGCGCCGCGTCGCAGCCTCCAAGGACGGGCCGATACGGTAGTCCGCATCCGATATCGGAGCAATGAAAGGGGTGGGGCGGGGGGCGGGGGGCCGGGGAGGTGCGACTCACCGACAGCAGGGCGAGGGAGAGGACGAGCAACAGCGCCAGGGCGACTCGGGAGGACCTCCGCGCCATGGCTGAAATGGCTGATCCTTTCGGATCTGCGACTTGGACAGAATTCCGGGATGCAGTTCCTGGGGCCACCTGCGGGCCGCCGAGCGCAAAGATGGCGTCGGAAGATGTTCGGCGGCGTCGGAGGGACGAGCAGATCGCGGCACGCGGCACGCGCGACTCACGGGCCCCCGCGGCCTTCCCCCATCCCTCAGTCATCGCGCCAAGCATTGGCCACAGCGGCCCGGCAGGGAGCATCGGAAATGGAATTTCCATCCGCAGGGGAGGTCTCGATCTGCGCGAGAGAGGGAGAGGCCGCCAGGGGGTGGATCCACGGCACCCCGCGCGAAGAGTCGGGGCGGCCCATGGCAACTGCCAATCACAATGCAGCGGCTGTGGAAACGAGGCCCCGAACAAGGAACAAGGACAGCTGACCCCTTCGGGACACTTTGGGAGGCGACGGCGGCAGGCAAAGGGCAAAAGCGACCCCCGTGGCGCGCGGGAGCCGCGCATTCCGGCGCGAGATCTGCGCGGAACCCGGCCATCTCCACATCGCCACGAGAGGCGTCGAAAACGTCGAACGCCATCGGCCACCTGGGGAGCCAATCCCGCGGCCTCTGGCCAACTCACCGCTCCCGCCTTTCCCAATTCTCTGCCTGCAGCCTCACCCGCCGCTCCGCCCTCCACTTCTCAGACTGGGTCAGGGGAGCCTTCGGACGGCGAGGGCTGTCGCTGGGGCGCATGAGGGGGGCTCCGGAAGAAGTACCTCCCCGGCTTGGGCCCGGAGCGGCCACAAGGGCCACGGACAACGCGACAGCACCTGCCACGCTGTTGCCCATCAAGCCCAGTACTCTGGTCGCTGTACGAGGTTGCCCACCTCGGATCCAGTCAGGAGGGGTCGGGCGTCGGTCGCTGGGGCGGTGCTGGCGGCGGGCTGAAGATTTTATGACACACGGCTGGCGTTGCGCACCGTTGTCACCCTGTGGGCACCACGTGGGGTGCGCCCCTACCAAGCAGCGCGGCATTCGCGGAGCTGCGTACGCGCAGTGACCGCCGTAAGGTTCGCACTGGAGCGGGGCGCTCATGCTACCACTCCGGTGGTGTCCTAGACCCTTTCCAACACGCCACTCTGCCCCCCTTCTTGTCCCCACCTTGTTACCAAACCTACACCTACCTTCTGCCCCTTTTCTGTTACATAGAGACACACTCGAACGGTGTCCATCACCGCTCAAGTCATTCGGGATACCCCTTACTTAGCTCTAGCGTGGTCGCTTCTCAGTACTGAATGCTTCAATGATACATCAATGATACACCAATCCACGGCTAAGGGAAGTTCACCTTGTTCGGGCGGGCAGGGTGGGTGCAAACAAAATGGAATGGGGACCCGAGGGGAGTAACAAAACAGCGGCCTCCACTGAACCTCCCAAAGCCCAGCAATATCCATGAGTGCCAAACTTCCTTGTGCACTCTTTGAAGGGCTTCAATTTGATTGATCCAAAGTATCGGATGACCAGCAGCAAAAGGGTGGGATTGAACAATGACGAGCTGTCGATTCAAGCCATCGACGGAGCCCACTCAAACAGTGGCCTTGGCAGAAACTCATTGCAAGCGAGCAAAGCGAGCAGAGCTTTATAGAGAGAAATCGCAATTCTGGCCGACCGCCGGCCGCCGATGGCATGCCGCTGACCACATGCCGTGCACACACTGGCCCCTCCCCGGGCTTCCTAGGGCCGCGCCGTGCGTGGGTGATGCACAGCGCGGACGCCGACCAGCCACACGCCGCCCTTCCCCTGGCTTCCTTGCGCCTCGTGCAGTGCGCGGTATGGGCACCGACCGTCCAATCACGCCCTCCTCCGGACTTCCTTACGCCTCGCATGGCGCACGTGCGGCGTGGCAGGCGGCATGGACGATGACCGCGCACTCACACCCGTACCGAACAACACGATTGTAATGCACAACACATTGGGAACAACACGATTGTAACACACAACACAGTCCGAACAACATGATTGTAACACACAACAAGTTCCGAACAGCACGATTGCAACACATTGCACATTCCAAACGACACGATTATAACACATGCCACGGCTCATATTGTACATTTTGTTCGTGCAGCACAGCACGCGCGTGTTGGAACACGCTCCTCTTGTGCAACACAGCCATGATACACATCATATAATGCAATACATGTAGTATAAATGCATCACTACAGTTAACACTAAAGGAACACGAAACTCAACACAAAATTTAAATTCCAAACACAATTTTTAACATGTTGTTTGGAACACATGAGCACGTGGGCAACACATTTAATGAATGTGTAGAACACCAGGAGCACATGGGGAACACAAATCCAAACAAAAACTGTAAATTTTGTACATTGTACCTTGAAACATAGCAACACGCTTTGAAACACAAATCAACACGTTCTTGGATAACACGTTTCAGCGTGTTGCAATAGAACACATTTTGAACACATTCACCAAGGGATGGACCGCCGTAAAGGTGTCCCAAAGACAACACATTTTATCAATTTGTTACACACTGAGAGCACAAAAATAACACAGACCCGTAAACTTTGTATACAAAAATAGTGTGTTCTTACTCCATGAGCATATTTGCACAACACATGTTGCAGTTCCTAAAGGTGTTCCCAATAACACTTTTTGGCAATTTTCAACACATTCTGAGCACACTCTGAACTCGTTTTGCCCAATTATAATACATGTAGACACGTGTTATTTGGCCCTTTCTTTCCTAGCGAATGCCGCACAACTTCATAAGGATTCCAAGGGAAAAAAATGGCCAAAATTATGGTGATTGCAGTGATTTGAAAAATCGGGATGCCAAAAGCCATCATAGGCGAGAGGAGCAATCCATCAGCTTGAAATTGATCCGTTCTGAGGATCTTTTCGAAGGTTGAAAATTTGAGGAAGTTTTGCAACAAGTATGAGCTATTTTCTGCTGATCAGCAGCAGTTTTGTCCAACTTCCCACCTTATTTTGGTTTTAGTGCAATTACAAATCTCTTAGTGTCAACGGCTGTCCCCCACCCCCCTCTTTCTTAACGTCAATTTGATGTTGTACAAAATTCAAAATAGTGTCCTCCCTAACAGAATAATGAAGTCATTTTTTAAGCCATGTGGTGGGGGATTGGAACTTGGGAGGAATGGGAAGGAGCCGTGCACGCCAACGACGCACAGGGGCAAATCAAAACTTTGTGTTAATCTGTTGTAAATTTTTGCTTTTTAAAGCATGAGAGGAATGTGGGTAAGTTTGGCGGAGGGCTGGGGATGGAAGTGCGGGTAAGGCCCTGTAACCAAATGCTGGGCTACCAACACTGCCATTGCCATAGTTCTACCAGTCCTGCGCTCCCTCACCTTCCTTCCGCCTCTTTTACTAGTAGAAGAGGTCGAGGGATGGTGAGGGAATATGGTGGGGGGGGGAGTCTTGGGAGCGCACGCATCACGTGCTTTTCACGATGCGGTATCAACCATGCTTGTCGAACTTTCGAATGAGCTTTTGGACGTGGGACTTGCCCACATGCCAGATTGGGCGACTGGCGGGCTCCTTCCAGGCCGCCTGTTACGCCCTCTGAAACACACCCTCAGGTCATTACTCATCGATGCAGCTTCAAATTTCGCTATTTCTAATGCCAGTCCGTCGCACAATACGTACTACGCAGTGTACACTGGTGGCAAGGGCCACCAAACAGTCTCCACCCCCACCAAGCAGCCATGCCGATTGAGTACCATTCGTCCCCTCGCTGTCACATCCACGCGCTCGCTGTCACATCCACACGCCTTGCTGTCACGTCAACTGTTTCCTCCACAGGTCCGCTTTGAGAACCGGTGCCGCCGCTGCCTCGCCCACCACCTCCGCCCAAACCCAATAACTTAAAGCGCCAAATTCCATCTCCGCCCCGGCGCCACGGCACCGTCCCCGGCCCCATGTCACACTCCAGCAAGGTCAAGATTAAGTCCCCAAGACACCCCCAATATGTGCCTCCCTACCGTACTGAAAGGCCACACGTGGCCAGGAGGGCCACGTTCGTCGACCCAGCCCTTCAGGCCACTCGATGCATCCATGTTGATGAATCCATTGTGGCGAATCCATGTCAATGAATGTTCAATGATCGATGCTTCATTTTCGATCGAAAGTGCTCACGTTGTGGACTGCACTCCATGACGCTGGTGCCGGCCGAACAGCGTGTCAGTGAGTCAGTGCGTAGTGCCGCCAATAACTCATGCAGTCACGCCGCCCCGCACAGCACGCCCAATGGCTTCCCTCCAATCTCAGACACCCCGCATCCTGACATGCTGCCGCATTCGAGGTGCAGGGGCATGCACACTCGCTACGTGTCCGTATGCAGCCCCATGGGGATTCCATCCAACCACACTCACCAGACAGAACTCGCCAGCGCCTGCCAATCAACCTTACCTTGCCAACCCTCATCCGACAGGGCAACAGGGCGCCCCACTGCCTCGGCCTGATGAGAGCACATGGCGCGCCTCCCTCCAGCAACACCCACCAGACAGGACTCTAAACCCCAAACACAAGGTGACAAAAACGGCCCCCAGCACCAAGCCCCCCACCCCCACCCCACACCCACCCCACACCCACCCCACTCCACCCCACCCCACCCTTCCCACCCCTTTTTAAACATTACGAGTCCCCATTTCTGCCAATGCCAGTCCGGCAAGGAAGCGGGAAGTACTGCCCGCCGTGCTTGCTGAAACCTCCTCCCCATCCATACCCTTTCCCATTCACTGGCCCCTCAGCGAGCTCCTGCACGTCAGCAAAGGGGTCCGGGGGCCCACCCACTTCTTGGCCACGACTCAAACGCCTTTCGTGTGGCCCCTTCTTTCTGAAGCCATTGGCACCCGGGGGGTGCTGTGGCAGGCGGCCGATGGCGGGGTGGCCCATCTCAATGGCAAATGCGGTGCGCTCCTCGGAGCACTCTGGCTCAGGCGTGACGGGCTTGGAGGGCCCCCGTGCGCAGGCGCCGGGCTGGATGCGGCCGTTGGTCGGGCGTCCGCCAGGCTCGCTCTTAGCATGGACAAAAGGGCTGTCCTCCTTGGCGCTACTGCTGCCGCCTGCATTCCCACCAGTTCAGACCATTAGTATTTGTGTTGTACCGACGAAGGCAGGCAGGTCGAGGGGTGGCGACCCCTGAACAGGTACAGCAGGCTGGAGTCCATGGCAGCGGTTTACAGGCGAGCAAATGGACAACAGGAGTTCTGTCCCCTGTATCCAGTCCATTCATCAATGTCCTTAGTGCAATTCCTAATGCCTCCTCACTTCTTTCTGTGTCCAGCTGTCCAAAATACTCAATCAGTGCCAGTCGCATTAGTTCATATATTGCACATCGCAACTGCATTTGCTGTCGCTCTTCTGTGTTTTGTAATCTGTTGCTGTTCTATGTACCATTCCATATGGCGACTGCATTTGTTGTCGCCATTTGTTGTCACTATTTGTTGTCGCTATTTGTTGTTGCTATTTGTTGTTGCTATTTGTAGTTGCTATTTGTTGTTGCTATTTGTTGTTGCTATTTGTTGCTGCTATTTGTTGTCGCTATTTGCTGTTGCTGATACTGACAAAAACAAAGAGCTATGTGCATTCGGGATGGCTGCACGCATCCTTGTGGTGAGAGACGCTCATGCTTATCGATTCAAACATCAACAATATATTGCGTATTGCAGCATCAATGCGTGAATTAGGAATTGCAGCAATACATGTCCTTTGAATCTGCCTTCGACAGGGCGAAGTGTTGCACTTGCACATTGAGGGCGATGATGGGCGTGTGCACATCGAACGACGCTTCTACGTCCTGTATGCGTTGAATTTGCCCGCTTGGCACCCTCATGGCCAGACATTGCTAAACAGGCTTGTTATTTACGCCATAAACACAGGTCGCATTTACGCTTCAACACGTTTTTCACGATCTGAAGAACGTGTAAAAACGTGAAGACAGTTCTCACGTTTCAAATCGGACAAATGCGCAAAGGTGTGTGAATACAGCTCCGCGTACATAAGGACTGTGCATGAAGACTTAGGAAGTACGAGGAGTGGCAGCCAGACCCGCTGGAATGCATAGAAAACGAACTTTCGTTCCATTCCATCATTGCTCTTGCCGAGCAAGGCGGGCTCTGTGTTGTTAGTGTTCGAAGGGAGGGAGGATTGGTCATTGTGCGCAACTGTCATGTGTAACCTTGGTGTCACAGCGAGCCGTAAAACGTAAACGCAAATAACAAGCCTGCTGCTAAATGGCTGATCCCCTGGGCCCTGGGTGGCGCTGGGCACCCAGCGTGCAAAAGCCTTCGATTGGTGCTGGAACACATCGAAGCAAGCCCTCAGAACGTGCATACATCCGTGACAACATTGAGCCAACGAGAGAGACTACAGCAAGGGGGCGGCCACTTCACACTCTGGCAACGCTGCTGAAGCAAGACGCTCTCTGCGTACATTGCATCCTTAGTATGACCCACACGTACAACACATAGCACCCACACCCAAACTCCCCTGTCAGTGGCGCAAAGCCTGCTTGCAAGAAAACGATAAGCACATTCACAGTCGTCCAAGTGGCGCCATTTTTATCAGCGCGATGGCATTACATAAGTAAAATCGGCCGAAGACACGGTTTCGAACCTTGTAAAATCGTGTCAAACCATGTCAAACCATGTAAAAACTATGTACACTCACTCCATCGTTGCTACATCATTTCCCACCCATTTTTTATTTGACAAATACATAATTTAACACGTTTTTTACATGTTTTTTAATCGTGTTACACGGTACATGATCTTCAGAACCGTATATTTTGGCCTGTTTACTAGTGTTATGCATGGCATCGAATGGCTTCATGAGCGCGTCGGCAGACTCACCCCGCCTTGCGGCCCCCAGCGCCGATTGGTAGCCGCTCCAGTGGATGCACAGCAGCCGGCACGGTGCCACGGCCTGCGCGTCGAAGTCCGGGACGTACTGCTCAAGGGCGGTGTTGGCGAGGGCCTTGTTGCCGAGCGTGGACCAGGGGCCAATCTCCAGGGTGAACTCCTCCATGCCCGTGCGTATGAGCACCTTGCCCTGGACAGCGGCCAGGCGCCAGTCCGCATAATGCAATTTCAGTCCCCTTCCAGGTCGTTTAATGGACGATGGAATGGCCCATAATATGGAATATGCTTACAATATGCTACAATACGTTACATTATGTTACAATGTGTTACATAGTTTGCTCGTGATACTCTCATGCTGTGGGTTTTCATCAAAAACCGGCTCATGATCCTGTGCAATGGCTGATGATCGTTTGCTCGCAGCAGCGTCCACAACACATCCGATTGCTGTAACTCCTGTCCACGCCTAGCACTGGAAGAAAACGGCATGTTGGCGATGCCAACTGCGATGCCATTTTGACACAAAATGATGCCGTCACAGTGATTGCGATGGCATAAAAGCGGCTGTGATGGCATCAATTTGTGTCAAATGACATCGCCATTGGCATCGCAAACAGGCTGTTTTCTACTGGTGTAGGCTGCACTACATGGATCGAATAGCAGACCAATTCACTTTGGCACGCTGTTCATCGAGTGGCTAATCATCGTGGAGTGATCAATATACGTCAGAGGTGCGTCCGGTCGTGCTGCTGCTGCTGTGGTTTTCAATCATCGTGAATCATTGTCATTGGATGGAACAAAGTATTCCCCGCCAATTTGGGAGGGAAAGGGGCCAAGGCCGCATCCTCTTCTGGCAATTACCAAATGTTGATTGGCGATATTCACCACTTCTGCTGAATTGCACAGATGTACGCTACACGGTGACAGCACCGCCCACTCTTGCTGTTGATGGTAAGTCGCTTACATCAGTCAATAGTGACAGAATGATAGTCAAATGGAATACAAAACGAACGATGTTGATCACCAGACACAACACATCTACATTTCATCATCGCATTTTCTGAATCACAAGGAACAGGCGAAGAACAGCATATCGGACCAGCAGCAGGTTCAACGCACAGCCCTGTGCGAGACGCACGTCGCGGCCCGCGCCATGGCTACCTGCAGCACGAGCGTGAATTCCCGTGCCGACTTGCCGTCTTCGTAGATCATCTGCCCGTCCACCGGCGAGCCGCCCAGCAGCCTCGACTTGGGCACGTCGCCCCCCATGGGCGTGTGGCAGTCCACCTGCTCGTTGACCTCCAGCAGCTTAGAACCGCGGATGAGGGCAGCCAGCGTCTCCTCATGGCCAGCGAACTCAGCGAACTCCTGCACGGCCAGGAACCGACGTGGGAGGCAGGCAATGCCAAGCCGCTGCTTCCACAATGCCTCAACACAAATTCTGGCATCCAAACTAAAGTGGGGCGAGAGGCTGCATGGGCAACACAACGGGCGCTGCAAGGGGCCGAGCCGTGCCATCTTGGCCATTAATGTTAGACTTGAATTTAATTAAGGATAGTGCAGGCTGTGACATCCATGTTGCCCATTGCGATATCCACAAGTTCTTCATTTCCAGGCAGGACTCTTGAGTGTGATGAAAATTGGGAATCGAAAGAAAAATTTGACACAAAGGAAGGGGTGTGTTTCTTTTTTTTTGGCCCACAAGGGTGTGCGTGTAGAGGGCGCCCATGCTGCAACAAAACACACGGACCCATGTTTGCCAGTTCACAAGTGTTGGCATGCGGATTCTTACCACGCCACGATTTTCATTCTTCAGCACAGTATGTTGCATCAGAACGCTGTGCAATACAATACAGTGCAGTGCAATGAACTACAACACAACATGGTTCGATACCACGCATAGCAGTAGAATACAATAGAGCACAGCACAGCATAGTGCAGTACAGAACATTGCACAACAGTGTAGTGCAGTACAATTCAGCATAGCAGACTCGCGCTCAGTACAAGGATGCACCTCCTCATTGCTGATCAGGAAGGACGTTATGGCCTTGACCTCCTGCTGTGACAGCTTCTCCCCATGCAGCTTGTGGTCAAAGAACTGCAAAAATTCGCTGGTGGCACTGCTGCCCTTGCGGCCTTGCTCCCCGATCCCACCAGTGCCAGCCATCTCCAGGTTGTCAGTCTCGTCGATTATCTCGTCTTGGAGCACCTCTTCGATAACATCCTGCCAATGGTCCAGCACCAAGAATGAGTCAATCGTGTGATTTCATCTTTGTAGTAATAAGCACTATGCAATCCCACAGGATTGTGCTTGTAACAAGTTAACGAACTTGGCATGGCATGGCTTGGTGTTGCACTGTTGTAATGTTGCAATCAAGCTGATTGCAGTTAGAGGACACTCACATTCATGCAATGACAATACCCTGCTTATTCGATGACGTTTTCCACTAATGGAAATCAGCCCTGCAAACACGATCTGCCCTAAAACAGAGGATCGCAAAAGCTGAATCCATGTCAAAGCACGAAGTGACAGCTCTTTCGGGGTGATGAGGCCAGTGCCCACAATCGCAGCAGCAAGACCAGGTGGCATGTGAGAACATGGCACAGTGCCGCATACAGCAATGGTGCCACCCATGCGAGGTGCCCAGCACTGAAGCCACAGCACAAGACAGCAAGACACAGTACATAAAACAATACCCAGCACCATAGCCAGTAAAGCACCTCCACGATGGTGATGTCAGTGCAGTGGCAGCGCCAATAGGGCCCATGCCCGTGCAAACATAGGACCTGGACGTAATTGCACACAAGAACAGTACCTAATACCGTGGGCAGTGATGGTACCTCCAGGGTGATGAGGCCGGTGACCTCCGTTCCCTCAGCGCCCTCCGCCAGTGCTGCCAGCCCACCGCTGGTCAGCTCCTTGCCATAAGTCGCTGGCGGCCGCCGATGCACGATCACTTGGTGGCTGGAGCTCGAGATGAAGATTTTCAGGATCTTGTCAAGGGTGAGGTCCTCGTAGATATGGCCCACCGTGTGGCCCCTGCAAAAAAAAGAAATGCCAGAACTGGAGGCTCATTTTCATCATTTTTTGGACCTCATGCAGCATCCCTTGAGGATATATGGGAGCAAGACTTGTTGGCACTTCAATGTGCTATTGTGATATGCTAATATTGTACAATTCAGAGCACAACAGTATTTGCCTGATGTTTGCCTGGTATTTGACAGTATTGGCTTGGTGGCCACTGTGTGGTATGCGACTCGAGGCGTTTCCATGATTTTAATCAGCATTGCATCGTTTCCTACGCCACTCTTAACTGGCCTCATGTGGACAGAAGGTGCATGGATGTTGCACAGGCGTGCTCAAGCTCGCACCAACAGCACCTCTCACATTTGGGATTTCGGTTGCCACTGCAGTGGTGTAACCGTTACAGAAATGGTGGCCACAGCAATGATCAGCAGGGTCGACATAAATTCCTCTCAGTTCAATTGCCATGAAACAAGGGAAAACACTGCCTTTGCACCTGGCAGGTGATGGCGGGCATCAATCCACTCACACCGCCTGCTTGGAAACTTTAATCGTGCTTGTGAGCCCATTGACGGGGATGCGAATTCGTGTTCTGCTGGGATGCGAGGGTACATTTGACAAACTCTTCATGGATTCTCTATGCGATTCAACACGATTCCCCAGCAACTTGATGTATGCAATATATTTGATGTATCAAATGGCTGGCAGTAATTTTGTGTGATTTGCATACAGAATATAATCTGCTGAAATAGCCAATAATTGCAGGGGTCAAAGCCTGGTAGATGCCTGGACATGATGCGTCAGAACCCACTAAGACAGTCCATAGCATCGCGCCACAAATCAGCTGAATTTTAAACAGAAATTTTGTGGCTTGGATGGAAAAAACTTGCAAAAGGTAATCTAAATCGAGAAATCCGGATCCTGGATTTTGGTTTTCATGGAATTCGTTACCTGAAAATCTGTGAATGAACAAATTACGCTGAGCAAGGCTTGTGTTCTGTCATGCTTCCACCGGTGCAGTCCATACAATATGCACCACTGAGCAGGCACAAATTACCAGCCAACACAAGCTGCAGCATCCTAAGCGTCCAGGTGTTTGGAAGGATTGGCACCAAACCTTCAATTGTGATGAAACACGGCTACAAACATAATAACAAGTGCTACAATGCTCCAACAAGAAGCTAAACCCGAAGGCCTGCCCTCATCCATCACCTGCCAGCTGCAAAGCCACTGCAGGGTCCAAATTTCACCTCTCAAGACACCCAGGGTCAGCCGTCCGCACACCAACTCACCCACATTGACAGAAGCCAATAGGCCAGGCAGTGGGAATGTCCGCGTCGGGGACAAGCATCCAAGGTATAGGGCATATTTCGTGCATGGGTCTCCAGGCCAGTTTATAGGTTAGGGCGTGGGTGCCAACTCAGGTTTATACTCAGGCTAGGGTTTTTATATAGATATCTATTTATTTATATTTATATAAATATAAAAACAAAGTAAAATATTATATTATATTACTTCAAGTATAATATAATACATTATATAAATTTAGGGTGTCAGGGTCAGGGAGAGCCACCTGCCTTAAGGACATGATTTTTCCCAACTCGATCTCGTCATCAGGGTCCACCAGCACCAGGTCCTTCACAAACAAGATGCCCACTATCGTCTGGCAGTTGCCAAGGTATACGGGTATGCGGGAGAATCCCTGCAGGCACCAAACCAATACATTCGTCCTCAGCAGCTCTAGCAAGCCCAAAGCAAGGTTGCCTCTCTGGAATGTCTTCAACACTGGGCGAAGTCATACGTCGCACCATTTTGCAGGCCAGCGTGTGTAAGTTTTGACCACCAACATCCACCAAATGAAGTTAACAGTCTTCATCATAGCCATCATTCCCTACTGCTGCTAACACTTCAATGAAATACGAGACAAAGATGCTGACGATAATACAGGCCATGCAATGGGCAAATTCCATCGTGTGCTTGGCATGTATACCTTTCTGCCTGAATGAATCTATTCATATCTCCCTCCTGACCAAGTGCCATATGTACTCTCACGATTCAGGCAGGGTAATCATGGTGCCAAGCAAAAGGTCCCTGCAGCCAGCTCGAAAACTGCTGGATCCTGATGACCTGAGTCAGCAGAGACACACACACCATGGCTGGTGTGTTGCCTTTGCATAGCTGTGTTGGACACAATCATTCAATAGCCGGCCGCATGTGCCCTGGGGGTTGGAGCTGCAGAGTGCAAAAGAAGACCGTTTTGTCACAACGCTGTGCCTGCTGGAATCCAGCCCCAGGCAACTTTATCTTTAAGGTACTTAGACAAGTTTTGTCAACTGGCCAATGTGAACAAACGATCTTGGCTGCCATTTCTGAGATCTCAGAGGCAGCATCACTGAACACAGACACAGAACAGGGTGGGATGGGGTGGTGTGGTGGTGGTGGTGGTGATGGTGGCGAACGAGCACATGTCAGCAATTCTATTTACATTACATTTGATTACATGCGTCAAAAGCCACAGCAAATTTACTGCACCTCAGTCAGCACTGGGATCAGAATATCCAACCAACACTTTCACTGTCAACAACTTGACATCTGTAGAAACAATTTATGCCAACAACATGGCATCCATAGCAACAAGAGCTGTTGGGTGTGCCAACCGCACACTGCACACTGCCCATTTACAACACATGAAAAGGTCAAGCTTTGGGCACCTTTGTGTCCGGATGCATGTCCGTCCTTTCGCTTAAGGTGAAACAGCCCCCCAGATTGCCAAATGTCACTTGTTTGAAATCATTTTCATGCAATCAGTCTGTGAGTTTTATGTTGCCTTGTGCTAGGTTGCAAAGCAGTACGTTCGCGACATCTCTTCTGTTACGATGGGACAGCACCAGTACTCTTAAATGGGCTGCAGTAGTTCAGGGTGAACAACAGAACTGAACTAAAGGTGCAAGGGCTGTGCAGTAGGATGGCAGACCGAGACATGCCCAATCTCTGAAATTGCCATTATCTGTTAACATTCCCTTCAAAAGGACAAAGCAGTGCTCTTGACACTTGCAGGCCATTCAGGTGCGGAAGGATCCAAGAACTTTTAAAATTTCGCTTGCCACCCGTGCGGTCAGCCATGGGTGCATGATTTGTGTCACAAGCCTGTTTATTCACTGACACTGCAATCATAAATATGCGGCCACATAAACATCTATATGAATATCACCATATAAATATAAATATCAACATATGCCAGAAACATATGCAATGCAACTGGAACACAGAGACAGCATCAATAGAACATTGAGCAAACACCACAGAAATGAAGCGAGGCAACAAACGATGAGAATAACGATGGAGACAAGGCACAAAATATGTACAGAAATTGTGGCGAAGGGTTTAACGCACTGTTTTGTATATCTCTGACAGCTTTTCGAAATTCAACTTGGTATTCTTGTCCAGCATGTAGATCTGATCCAGGGGTGTCATAACGTTCCTGACGGTTTTGCCCTGCAGCTCCAGCGCCCCGATAAGCATCTTGTGGTCCTCGGTCGTCAGGCCACACTCCCTCTGGGCCTCAGGGTCCTCCGCATGGATGTCGCTGAGGTCACAAACAGCGATGAACAAGTAACCATTCGTCCATCAAGGGGCAGCAGCAACAGATCGTGAGTGCTCACAATAGTACATTACACAAACAATTCGCAGCTGGGACACAGCAAGGCACAACGACTTGCAATGCTCTGACAATGGACTCATCTAGTTGTTGCTTTTCTACTCTTCGTTTTGCTATATTGATCGTTGCCTATTTCTGCCCCACTATTATTTCATTCATTTCTATGTTTTCTTTGGCTATTCTTGAGCTTCAACCAACTAATCTCTATCTTTGTCTCATTCTATCTTTGCATCTGTTCCGTTTTCTATCGAAATAACACACGCTCTGATGTGCTTTGTTAGCTTGTTTCCATTCCCCATGTATGTCCTTTCGTCAGAATGTTTCACCCAATGGACCTTTCAATCAACGTGTGTTTCTGCTGCCCAGTGTGGGACACAACAGAAAGCGCATTTGGTGGCAGAATCGCACAGCAACAGAAACCCAGTCAACTGACGTATGCACGTAGTTGGAAAACGATGTGTACCTTATAATACATAAAAGGCCCAAACACAAACAATCGATGAACCAAATGCACCTTGAGCAACCTCAACCACAATTGGCTGCATCACACTGGGTGCAAAAGCAAATTCAATTGATTCATACTTATATAGCAACGCTGCCCAAACAAAATACCCTTTCACAATCTCGGTTCTGCGAGTCACCGCTTGCTAACCAGTTAGAAAAGCTCAACATCATCAAATAAAAATATTAATGATAAACAAAACCATCCTATAGCGATAATAATTTTGAAAACTCAACATTGCGCATCACTACATTAGCATCATTGAATTAACAAACAAAAAGCATCGCACAAAGGATAGGAACCTCACATCAATCTCTTGATTTCGTCCTTGGAGTATATTGTACCCACGTATCTGCCAAGCATCCAATCCAGCACCTTGCTCATGGGCCATGTGACAGGTAAGAACAAAACCCTGTCACAGCAAAAATCTGTCAAAACACATCAAAACATTGTCGAACGCCATTCAACTTTGTGCTTGCCAACACCTGTTGAATTCCAACTTGACTTTCCTCATGCTGCAAGATTGAATTCAAGTAAGACACTCGCGAAGCTTACATAATGCACAACATGCAAAACAGAAACAACAAAACAATGTTCTGATCAAGCAACCGCGTTTGTTCTGTACTGCATCCCTTGATAGGGACAACAGAAGCCGCAATCATACAACCATCACACAAGCAACACATAACTATCCAGGCAAGAAGGGTAACAACTACTTCTGCGCAATATTATACGTCCTCTATTGAGTTTAGCACATTATTTCTCCGTCATACGGACTTCGTTTCTCATTGAAATTTCATCCAAAGCAGTGCTTGTGAGTTTGGAGTATGCGGTCCAAAAGATCAAGTCAATCCATTCAACATTGTGAGTTTGGCAGCACCTTGTTGCAAGGGCCCTCTGCCTAGTAACCTCGGATTTTTCGCTCAAAAACGACGAAAATTCACTTTCCACTTAACGGGAAAAGGAGTTGGGGCTCATTTTTTCTTCTTGAAAATTGGTTTTCAGGGTTTGGGTACTCAAGCTTCCCGATTCTGATGTCCTTTTGTACATTTCAGCCCATCACTGTAGCAGACATTGTCTTTCAAATAGCGGGCATTTAATATGGGACAAAGTATTGCTGTAGCTGTAAACTGCCTCTGTCTGGCAGTGCTATACAACACAACCATGTGAGACTTTGTTCTCAAGGGTGTGGTCTACGAAAATGGCGTCATTTCCTTGTGCTACACAGGCCACACAGCGATGGGACCCCGTTGTCTCACCAGGCGGACTTCGCCTTGAAGCAGCGCGCACGTTTCCAGTGCCAGATCAGCACAACTGGGCACTCAGCCCCAAGCAGCTTTCACAGTTGTTACAGTTTCACACTTCTCACTCTTTTCACACGGGGGTCCCAATGAGGAGCTGTGGAATGAGGGCTTGTTCACGAGTGGCTCGGCTTGCAGAACTCTGGAAACAGCGGTATGTCTGCTGGGCTGCGCGGGCAGTTTATGTGGGCCATTTTCTTGGCAGCAAGTGGGTGTGGGTGTCCAGAATCTGTCACGCGGCGCCTCGCTCCACAGTATCACCTCGCTGGCAAGAAAACTAATGCTCTGACTTCATAACATAAATACAACTGCTCCATTACATTATTTATTAAACGACTATTGCAAACGAGAAAGCAAGCATAATGCATAAAGAAATATGCAATAGATAGGTCAACTAACAATGGGCCGTTCTGTCCTTCTTCTTGTGCATAAAGCGCCAGATTGCTCAAGTCGTGCAACACACCCTTCTGGGCACTAGTTGGCACAAAGCATCCCGTTTCTGGCGCGTCTGTTCTTTCCGAAATTCCTAATACGGTCAGTGGAGTGCAAACAGCATTCAAACGGACCAATCGATAGATCTGCAAGACAACTTGCACTAGGAAAATACTGAGGAAATGCATAGATAAGTGTTCTCAAAAAGTGTTATTTGGTCCTTTTTCTGCTAGTGTTGAATTTAGCGCTTTTGTGGAAACCCATTTCTTCTCTGGTAAAGGGCAACCCCTTGTAGGTCAAGCGAATGAAACTCAACCAGAATACCAGTCACAAAAAAGCGCCTAGAAAACTCCGAAAATCCCAAAAAACTCCCAAGCTAATAAAAAGCAATGCCCTGAATATAGTAACAAACCCCACGGTAGCAATATATAAATAGGCACCACAACATATACAAATACAAACAATGCAGCAAGCTGCAAGAAAGTTGCCTTGATGAAGCCCCAGAATGGTAGGCAACAAATACATAGGCACCCACATGAAGAATCTCACAGGCCAAATGCAGTAGGCACCGATCATGAGCCCGTGACGGGAGCACACGGCCTGGGGAACAATTTCACCTGCATTGCAGTGGCAGAGGAACGTCAATGCAAACGTGGATGCCAGCAGCTTCACAGGTTTCACAGATTTTGTTAGCTTTGCCGGGTGCCAGGCTAATGCCCAGCAAACTGAGTGGGGTTCGTCTTCAGCCACCAGGAGGCCATCTCCTAGGCTGTACCTAAGCTGTGGGCCATTTCTCAGATCTTTCCCAAATTATAGCCATTCCTGCTCAGGCAACGGTTGCCACACAACGCATTGCTGAGTCCATACTGACAGTCACACCGATATGCAAGCAACGAACACCAACCTCCACCACCACTTGCATTGTCTTATGCAAGTTCAGATGCTGAGCACCATCACCCGCAAAACTTAACCGTCTGCAACTGAGATTAAAAGTCGAGATCAATTATCGAGATTATCTCGATGTTGGCTTGCAAGACAGGTTTCAGTCCCTCTCTCCTTGGCAGTTGGCCTGCCCCACAACTGCCCTGTAGCCCAAATATTTGCTTAGCACGGGTTCCCGCTGGGTCCCTTCCCTTCTGTGCATTATTCGCTCCCATTCTACAGTGTAGGGTTGATGGTGCAAACCGTGGAATGAAACAACCGCCACTTTTTTAATTCCAAGCTTTTACACCCCCAGTATCAGACAGGTTTAACCTGTGAAAATGTATTGCAAATTCTCAACATATGAATTATGGGTGTGCTGACATGGGGTGAACTGCACCCTTGAAGGTGCAATAAGATTAGCTGCAGAAAATGGCATGACCGTTACAGTTCAAAGGTCAACCATTAATGCTTGGATAAAACTTGGAGAGGAAAGATTGTGGCAAATCATTTGAACCCATTAGATCAGGATGTCTGGAGAACGGCCCTTGTGGGAAATTTGTCTCCAACCAACATCTGGACTTCCTCCCACTGCATGCTGCACAGTACTTCCAGAGTGTAGCAAAATGCAGTAGAATGGAATCCTATAACAGAAGAACGCCACATAAAGTACAAATATAGTATGTGACATTAAATTAAATGAAAACCAAGTCATGTGTGGTAATAAAATAAAATAAAAAAGCAATAGAATTAACAATAGGGAAACACAGCAGTATTTTTCCCACCGCATAGAAACACAATAGATGAACAGTGGCTTCAGAGAGCCGAAGAGGAAACATTCACGTTGAGTCATGCCAGAAAGTGTGCGCTGCATAATTTAAATAGTGCAAAATTGCTAATGCACAAAATATAAAAAACCAAAATTTGTGCTCACACACACCATCAGTGATCCAATCTTGTCAAGGCCAGGGCTGTGAATTTGTTCTGTCGGTTGCTCCAAAAGCAGCAGCACACCTGTTACCCCAATATGCAACATAATGTGACAGAAAACACAGAAATGCATATGGTGAATGGAAAATAAGCGCAATGCAATACACAATAGAACATATGCAATAAATACAAAAATATGCAATACATGGATCATTCCACATAACAGTAAGTGTGCAGGGAGTGACACAAAGGTTATTTATCACAGCCATCAATCCATGATGATTCTGACAACTCGATGCTCCAACACCAAAGGTCCGATGCTTGTGTACATGCTCATATTCAATGTTGTGCACAGTCTGGAACGAAATGGATGCCAAGGTGTTCTCATCACAGTGCTCACCAAATATCAGGATGACGATTGTGGACACAATGAGGCCCACAAGGCCAGACGTCAAGTCAGAGAGAAGGATTGAGAGGGCAGAGTTGACGATGACGTTGCCCAGCAGCATGGTGCACAGGAGCAAGTTGCCATGCTGGCGCACTGCGGTCAGCCACACAAAATGCCACTCTCTTTGGTACTTTTCACTGATTCTGATACACCACAACATTTAGGTGGCACACAAGGGCCACATCTGTTTGGATGGGTGTAGCATGTGGACTCCTGATTGTGGAGCAGTATTTGGATTCAAAACAACTAGTATTACAGCCACATTTATGTTTGATAAGAGCAAACAAAATGTGGTACTGCTGATAAACACACTGCAATATTTCTGAATGAAACAAAGCAAAGATATAAAGCCAACTTTGGTGCAGAGGACTTTGCTTCGACATTGATGTCAAATGTACGTACAACATATCCAATGCTGCCACAGATTCCATCATCATGGTTCCCAAAGGGCACCAATGCCAGCCAACAAATGCTGGTTTTATCCAACCCCTGTCAGTATCCAAAACCCCCTCTGCAGAGTCCAAGCCATGTTAGTGCCCATGACCCGGTGTTAGCATCCGGCCCCAAGCTCTTGTCGGAGCTCGTTAGATTTGGTTTGGCAAGAGGAAGTAAACTGCACCACTCTTGGTTGCACGGTGTCCTTTGTTGCAAGCAGCTATGGCATTTCAACATGCAACGGGTACTGCACAAGTACTAGCCCTGTTGGGCTGACGGAATACAAACGTGAAGGCTTCATTCCTTGCAATCTGTGCATTGGAGATCGATGGGAACAGACGTACTTGCAGGTAGGAACACTGGTGATATGCTACCTCAAACTTACGTGGTGAAAGATTTTCATGATGCAGGAGAGGACTTCACTGATGAGGATTCGATGTGTTGACGTGGGAGTTGCTGCAACCCAAATTGATCAGGACATTTTCTGTTTTTGATGTGGGCATTTTTTGGTGGTTTCAGTGTTGTCTGTTACAATATGGAACTATCAAGGTTGTTATGTTAGAGGACACTTTGTATCTTCTGTCATGCCGATGTTGTTGCCCATCAATTCATTTTTTGTCATTTCATTCCATATTGCAATGTCTCGTGTTAAATCTTAAAATCTTCTCCATCCCCTCCTTGGAACACTGGCCCCAACCATGGTTGTGTCCATGATCCACTGTTAGTGTCCCCAAATGCACTTGGTTCTGTTGGGAGACCTGGATGCTAATACCCTGCAAACACAATAATAAGCAAAGCCAAGCTAGGGGCTTCAACCTTGTTGACCTTCTCACAGCTGCTGCTACATTGGAGGAATGGAAAATCGGCAAGGAGTCCAATGACAAGGAAATGAACATTATTTGGCATAGCATAAAGAACGCAAGGGTGTACTTTTCCATACAATAACAATGACAACTGAAAATACAATGCTGATGGCAATAACCAAAATTACCAATAATGGAAACAACCAAAGTAACAATATTGCTGATGATAGTAGCAATGGTAGCACAAGACAAGACAAGATTCATAAAACATAGTGTTGCATAACATATACGAGTCCAGGTGCACTGCAATCTACAGACAAGCACAACCGAATGGATTGCAACTGCACCCCTTCACATATTGGACACAACTAGAAAGTTGTTGTTAACCATGGGCAGCCACAACTGTGACATGCTCATTGGTTGTGCAGCATAGATGCAACCTAGGGGAGTATGTCGTATGGTACATGATAAACTGGTGTGTGAACATTGTTCCTCACTGAAAACTATTCCTTGATGGTTGCCACCTTAGTATCATTTTGTGGATTGTTGTGTCCAACGTCTTGCCCAAATGGTACATCATTATGGCAAAACTCACACGTCCCCCTGGTCCCTGGGAGGGGGGTTTGGGACCTAATCAGGAATTGAGACAGATCGGGATTCAAGCCAGATCAGTGAGCACAAGTGCGCAAAAGTATTGTTTAGTTTCAGCACAATGCAAGTGTGTCCATTTCCTAGTGTTGACAGTGCCCCACCTGGAATGATTGCCTTGGCATACTTTTGCTCCTCAGCTTGCCCTGCCTGCTCCAGTATCTGAACACGAACAAATGGTGCGGCTTCAAGTGCAATAAGAGAACAAATTGCTGTTGTATTTTATGAGCGATGCATCCCTTCAAAGTTTTGTCGGAAAGATTGCTGAAATCCTCAGTTCCATTGTACATCAGCCACCCGTTTGTATAGATCGGCATAAAGCAATAGTGCTGCAGGTTTCTTTTCCTTTTTCTGACAGTGTACCCTCTTCAGAGCTAATGTACTTACATCCCACGTAAAATCAGTTTATTGTGCATCTTGTGCATCTCGTGCAGTTGACAGGTTCCATGGTGGGTCTGGCATCTGTTCCTGTCCGTGCACGCCACGGACCTGCCCACAGAAAATCCATAACCAGCAGGCCCCCAGACGCCCAGCCGTGTTCAGCCCCCAATGTCCCCGCCCCTCAACCCGCCCAACCCATGCAGACATCCCACGAACTTTGGGCAGCGGCCCTCCCACAACTGGAGCGCCGCACGAACCCAGTCGGCCAAAACAAGCCTGTGAGTCTTTGGCAGCACGTGTTGTGGCACGATGTTTGACAGAGCGAGAGCAGCCCACCGGGCAGCCCCTCAGTCCCCGTGATGCGGCGATTTCAAGACAAGCTCGCGGTATGGCTGGAAGCGCGTTCGGGGATCAGGCACAGGGTAATCGCCTCCCCGTTCTACCTGGCGGAGACGATCCCGCTGAGGCGCCAACTGCGCCAGCGCGGCATGCCGGAGCCAGAGAGGCTCAAAGAAAGAATCGTCGTCACTCGGTTTCAATCGTTGCTGGCGCGCGCGGCTTTGGCGGGGAAGATTTCCACAGCACCCGAGGAGAGGGACAGGAAGGATCGGGCGGATCGGGCGGGTGTGCGCGACGCGCATCGGCGCGGCGCACCCGGGGCTGACCCACGAGGGGCCAGCTCGCTGCCAACGGACACGGGGACGATTCCCTGGCCCACCAATCCGACGCAACGATGCGCGAAAATCCCGCCGCCCGCGAGGCCGCCACCGATCCCGGAGCCTCGCGATCGCACCCTAGCCAGACCGACAGAGGACGCCTTCCGCAATCGCGCCCAACCGCCGGATGACAATGACGCCCCCCGCCACCCCCCCGGGGCCCCTCTTGCCATTCCGCGGTTTTTCTCTCCTTCAAAGGGGACCAGAATTTGGGGAGCGCGGACGGCTTGGTCGATCGCTGCCGCGCCGCCCTGCGTCACTGCCGGCTAAAACGCGCAAGGCAGCCCCCCCCAGCCCCGCCTCCCTTCCCCACATCTCCAGCCAGCCCGGCGCCAATGCCCCCCCCCGCCCTCGATCCGCACGTGCCCCGCCGCCTCGCCCCCCGACCCGGGAGCCAATCGTCACCCTTAGCGCCACCCAATCACCCTCCCACCCCCCGGGATCATATTATGACATTGTGCCGCCCCTCTCGCCCGATCCTCCCCAACCCGCCAGTCCAGCCAGCCCTTCCCCGCAGCAGCCCCCACAATCCAACCCACATCGCCAAAACTCACACCCACGGACGCACGCGAAAACGCCCCATTCGACAGAATCAGCATCCATGGACCCGCCCTGAGCATCCACCACCCACCCCGCTTCCCACAGTCACACACATGCGGCCTCGCTCACTCACCCGCAGGCCGACCATGTCGAGGCTGAGCAGCCCGAGGGTGAGGCCGGAGAACATGCCGCTGCACACCAGCAGGGCCGCGCCCAGGCCCAGCGCCGGCCCGCCGCTCAGCCCCGCCGTCAGCGCCCCACCGTCGGCCTCCGCCCACCCGCCGGCCCTGAAGCATCCCTCCGCGCAGGCAACCACGTCGGCCCCGCCGCAGCAGCTCGCCAGGCATCCCTCCTCCACTGGCATCAAACGCGGCCCGCCCAGACGCCCTCACCCGCCTCCGATGTCTCAATTCTCCGGCGCCTAGGTTTCCCAACACCGCGCTGGCCGAGCCGGCGGTCCGCCTCGGCTCAATCGACTTCGATTCTTCCCCCGTCCGGACCCGGGCGCTTTCCCTTTCGACTGCCTTCCGGCGTGTTTAGACCCACTGGTAGTCTTCTCCAGAGGGTCCGGGGCGCAGCAGGGGGTGTGTGGGCTGGGCGCCGTGTGGTTGGCTCCAAGGCCCGTCTGGAGGGTGTGGATGTGTGCGCGGCAGGCTGAGTCTCAGGGCCCCTGACGGGCTGCTTTGTTGGCTGGTGGCGTGACGGGGGTGGGGGGGGGGGGGCGCGGCGCCTCTAGCACCGGGGGCTTCGCGGGAGCTGTACGGCAGCCGGGGCCATGGCGGGCGGGCGGGGGAGCGCCTGTCCCCGGGAGCCACTCTTCGATGACTGAGGGTCGCTGGCGCGGGCGCCAAAACGCACTCTCCTTGGACGAGGATGCATTTGTCCCTCTGTCTTTGGGGAGGACCCCTTCTTCGAGAATATATTAGCCCCTCTGTCTTTCCGTGAGGATACTTTCTTCCTCCACGGACAAGGCCAGCGTGGGTCAGTGCATCAGTGGGTCAGTGGGTCAGTGGGTTGGGGTTCAAGGTGTCGAAACACGAAGGGATGTTCACGGAAAAGACAGAGCGACTGACTTCATACCCTCCCCGGACCGCCTTTCTTTTGCCCAGAGGGCTTTCCTGGCGTTTTCTTCTTCCCGTTTTTGTCCTGGAGCTTCCAGCTGGAATTCTTTTCCTGGATCCTGTATTTCCAAGTGTTTGCCATCCGGAGGTTGCGCTGGAGGTCTTTCCCAGTTTCTTGGAGTTGTCCTCCTGGGGGGGGTGCCGCCGAGGCGACGTTTGCATTGGGGGTTTGGAGGGGCGGCGGGAGTGCCGCTCACCCACTGGATGAGTTGGGGCGCGGGGAGTGTGAGCTTTTGGTGGTGTGGGCGACCTTTGGAGGGAGAGGGTGGTGCAATCCAGTGCTTGTAAGTCGCAAAGCATAACGTTATCGTGACACTTTCCCTAAATGCTTCTAAAAACTGCATGCTAACTGGGGGGAAGCGAACTGGGCGGAATTCGAAGCATGACTACTTCTTAATTGTGGCAAAGTGTTGGCGTACAATAGTTTGTGTAATACTAGCAAAGCGATCGGCGAAAGGTCTGCGGCGGCTTTCCAACTAGTACTCGTCCAAGGATAACTCGTCCAACGATTACTCGTCCAAGGCGGCCTGCTCAAGCAGTGCAGACATTGCGGCGCCTTGAAAGCGCTCGCAGCACTCGTCCCAAACGATGGCCCGGTGCAAATGCGACCCAAAGCCGGCCCCAGTACCTTGCTTTGTAGGCATTTTGGGGGGTTTATCTGGAGTGCTGATCACGCAGAGCAGACTCTCGGTCAGAAAGGGCACAATGAGAATTACTCTGGAATTGTTGCCCTTTTTCCTTCTTCGAAAGGCACCATTCCTTCTCAAAACGCTCACAAACTTGCCGGACACCAAACGAAGGCCTCTGCCAGAAACGGGACATCTGCTCCTATCGCGCCGTCACCACATTTTCAAATTTTAGTCTCGTCCACGTCTTCCATGTCGGCGCCGATCGCCAGACCCTCCTATTCGCCACACCCTCCCAGTGTCACAGCCGCTACCATAAATATGGCGTGCACGGTGCGCATACGATTCTCGCTAGCATCGCAGTCCAGATTCAGATCAGAATTAGATTATAATTCCATTTTAAATGGAGTAGAATTCAATTGCAAATAGACCAGAATTTTGTGAGCAAGCGCCACAGCAGTCAAGCGACTGGACCGTTGGCACATCTGACTCATAAGGCACAGGCTGTCGAGGCCAACGCCGGGGCCCCCACCAGCAAGCCCCGCTCGCCTGGCGCTCCGCCCCTCGGACAAGGGAAGCTGGCGGGGCGCCAGAAATCGGTCGCTGTCGGAGGCCTTCCGCGCCGACATCCACTGTCGGACCGTCCGACAGTTCCGACCCGGGACCCGAAACGCGCCCGCTCGGAGTTTCGAAACGCGCCCGTTCGGTACGCAGACAGCGAAGACCGCTGTCTCTACTGCACCCTCGGACGGCCAGCAGACTCGCAAGCCGATGCGGCCACAGGCAATAAAACGCTACACCAAATATTTGGAAGACGGAATGCCCTGGGGCATTGGGAAGGTTTGCTGGCCAATGCACAGCTCAAATTCGGACCTGTCGGGTCTTGACGGCTGACACACATTAGGTTCTACAGATTGGACACCAAAACTAGGTAGGAAATAGCAATCTTCGCCTCCCCGAATCGCCCTGGGTGCTGCCGGCTCTGCCATCCCCCTGCCGGCTCACACGGCTTTTGTCAGATGCCGTGAACTTGCTCTGGATTATCATTTACCTTGAATAAAATCTCATGGAAAATGTAACAGAATACTTTTTCTAACAAATGATCAGAGATTTTCGCCAACAGTTCTGATAAGATCACTGACGCATCATGAATGCAGGTCCCCATACGCGGAATATCGTTTTGACTCTGTTTCGGTGGCGCAATGGTGCCCGCCCCCCCACCCCACCCCACCCCCCCCGCATCCACATGTTCTTACCCCGAAGACCTTCGGTTTGGGAAAGCTGTCATCGTCGTCGTCTGTGACCTTGAGGACGACCACCACGATTATGGCCACAAGGATGAGAAACAGCAGGCAACGAATGCACCTGTGGAAGTATTGATTGGCTTAGAAATGATGGGAATGGCACACTAAATGGTATTTAACACACCATTCTGAATTCCCCTTTCGCATGTGTTGCTTCCACTGCTGGAATGTGTCCCACTTTTTTCGGTTCAGAAATCAACACGCACGACTGTCGCATATAAACAAAAAATCTAAGAGTGTTGTACTCACAATATATTCAGATCACGGCCAGTCTCTGATTCCGCCTTATGGGCGTCATTTCAGCGCGTTGTGTCAAATGATGAAATCCACATTCAGCAATGCGTCATGCAATGTTGAACTGGCGTACCTAAAGCTGTGCTTTGCTGAGGCCATCTCCATAGAATGTGAATTGAAACATAGAAATGTTTATCGCGGATAACTGAGGATGAGTTCTACAATGAGACATGAAAATTGCGGACCAAACATCTCACGACCTAGTAGTCCGCAACTTCCCAAAACGTTGCGCTTTCCCTGACTCCCCTTTTCTACCTACCCTGTACTAGGATCCCGTGCTGTGTGCTGCGCTGTGCGCAATATATAAGTGCTGTGCTGAAGGTGGAAGCGTTGGAAAGTCTCGGTGAGACACAACACCGTTCGAGGATAAGGTGGCACAAGCTGGCATTGTAAGGTACTGAGCCTCGCACAGCCTTCTCCGAAACAAGATCTCAGCCCTGTTTTCGATTCCTAGATTCCCAGGTTCTTATGTTCCTAGATTCCTAGATTTCTATGTCCCAGAACATGGCCTCGAATCCTACCTGTCGGTCATGATCCCTCGAGTTATGTCCCTCACCACGCGCCCAGCAGCTTTCATCGTGAACTCAATCTCATCCAAGTCGTCGACGATCTTGTCCATCTGCTTCGATTGCTCGTGGAGCGTTGCGGCCGTCTGAGCGCAGAATCGGGTCAGCGTGGGAGCGCCATCAATTCATCATTTGTTACGCACCATCAACTGTCAGGTTGGTGTTTAATTTCAATTCATTTCACACAGTTTTGTTCATACTTCACTAGTTTGGTTACTGCAATAATTCAACTGATATTGTCGTTCGCGCAACAGCGGATTTGAAACTCATTTTACCTCTTTCCACGCACTTTCCGTTCCGTGGCCAATTTTCAATCAAGCAGGCAGCTCTCGTTTTCAGACGGCGTTAATTAGTAATGTATGACTGCAGTCATTTAGTAAATTGCTGAAAATTGTGTGCCGCCGCACTCGGCCCTGATGCTTCATTTTCCGTCCGTGTACAGACAAAGCTTCAATATTGCATGGAAGGATAGTGTTTACCATAACAGGAGACACTCAATGGACACAGTCAATTTGTGTGTTTAGAAATGCACGGTTCGAGACAATGCACAAAAATGCAGAGCAGTTTGCGTCGCCGTTGTCAGCCTAGATGGTGGCTGCACCACACGTTCAAAAATTTGAGTCAGTTTTCACCTGTGCATTAGGCTGGACTCCACATACTGCCGGCGATGCGCCAGTTGTTAAGGCAAGTTATGCAATGATGCAAACTACGCTAAGTGGGGCGAAAATGGACCTGATCGAGCTGCCTCGAGCACCTTTCTTACAGCCACTTTTCGCCACTGAGCATTGGCGATCCAATGCTGCTCAATGCTGATTCCAGGGATTCCTTTGAATTATCTATCAAGAGCATTCATTCAATGTTCCATTCCATTGTACAATCCTGATTATTTAAATTCTCATGTTCCAAACTGTTGAAATTCCATTCCCAGCATCACCACGTCCGTCCAGCGGTCCCCTTCGCGAAACTGGGTAAATGACGCCGCGAGCGATGAAACTAATTAAGCCCATCGATTGACATTTCCCCCTCAAACAACTTGATGCAAGTCAGCCACATACTTCACCTGAGCGATTGAGCGGTTCACACCACTGACGCACAACTTATGACTATCAACAAAATTGCTCCACGGAATCAAATTGCGTAAACAATGGCGGACGATTTTCCGCAGTCACCTGCACGCCGATCTGCACCGTGTCCTCCACAACCCGCTCCGCGCGTGCTAGCCGCACATCCACGTCGCGCATTGCCTTCCGCCCCTCCGCAATGACCTCTTCCGTCTTCATATCTGTCGGGCGAGCACGGCGCAAGGGGTTTAAGCTTTGGATGGGAAACGCAGAGAGCCCTTTGAGTGCGTTCCGAATGGGCTCCGCTCCAGGACACACAAGTGTCCCGTACCCCTTATTTCCGAACATGAAGTCATGAAGGTGATGAGGGCCATGGAGAGTTGAAGCCATGGAAGTCGTGGAGGTCATGAAGTCATGAGTTCATGGAGATCATGAAGCCACGAAGGTCACTTTCGGGTTTAGTTTGCTTAGATTTTAGGGTCTGGGTTCCCAGTACCCTTCATGACATTCATACCCGGTAATCATATGTATCGAACAATCCTCCCAGGATGGACAGCGCAACTACGTTCCGTTTCATTGGATGCGCTGATAACCATGAACTCACATTGACCCACAAACTTGTATAATAGTATCCAATGTTGGATTTGAATTGCATTTATTGTTGCGTTATTGCGTGTGGAAAGTGTCGCGTTGCATAAGCGCACACTATCGTTGCAAATGAGGAAAGGGCGTCGTTTGCTCCGCAGGCAAAAAGTGTCTTTTTGCGCTAGCTGTTCAAGCTCAACTGCCCTTTTTTCGCTGTTCCAAGCAGCGAATTATTCCCAAAGACCGTGCATTGGCAGCAGGCTTGCTAAGCGCGTCGCCCGCAGCCACTGCTAATGGCAACTGCATGTATCGTTGGCATCGCGCCAGCCGCGCCCAATCATGCCACTAATTGATGAAATTTTCTTCATAGATTTCTGGTGAGGACACTCCAGCACAGACGGCAAGAAAACCGTGAGATCGCACTGGCATTCGACATCCACCGTGTGCTGTTTTACATAATCGGCGTGACCGTGGCCCTCCAAAGGCGAGGTGGGCATGGCAGCGGGGATCTGGAGGAGGCGGCGAGCTGCACATTAATTGCACATTCGTTGCACATTCGCTGCATATTCTTTAGTTTATGTTAATAACAGGATGCAACAGTCGATCTTCCGGGAGGCGAGTCAGCGAGCGAGTGTCAAATGGACACGGGGTAGCAGCACGGTGCGTGCAGACCAACATAAAATGGCAAGGCCCGTCTTGCCAACCGGCTTGCGCCCAACAGTGGGGATGGAAACGTTTGAGCTGCCCATGTCCACGTGGCGGATTTCGCCTGGGGCCGGGTCGCTCTGATGATGAGGCTGCAGCAGCACTGGTGCCCGAGGATGCGAGTTTGTTGTGCCAATGCAGGAAGCTGGGCAGAAGTTCATGTCTGTGTGTGGTGTGTGCATGTCGATGCGTGTTTCCCAAACCACAATTCCCGGCGAGTGTCCATTCACCACAAGTTCCAGTTAGGTGGATTGCAGATTGCCACGCCACGGCTGCAAGAGCTTGAGTAACGTCTCAAGCCTCTCTGAGAGATGATCGCAGAAATCGAAGTTTTGATGCAATCGTGTGGAGTGCAACAAGAGGCGCAATGGCATCACCTTGTACTCTTTTGGGTTCACCAGGAGTGGATGCCAGTGGCGTGCTCTCTGGCGGCTCCTGCTTCCCTTGGCTCAGGCTCGCTTGGGCCTTTTTAAGAGTTGGATGGCCCTGTGCCTAGCCGATCCATCAGATCAGCCCTTGTATTTCTAAGAGTGAGCCTCCTGACACAGCATTCGGGTCCTTGGCCTGGCCTCTACGCTCAAATCTCGATGAGGCCAGATGTGCGTCACACCTGTGGTTTCCTGTTCTTAAGATATCTTTTTGCTCTTTTGTTGTTCTTTATCGATAATGTGCTCCATCATTGATGGATCTACGATGCCAAATCTCCTCCTCCTATGGAGGATTACTTTGAGCCTTTTGGCACCCCGCTGGGTAAGATAATGTAAGGTACAATTTAATAACCTGGGGTTGCATTGTTCATCGATTTCCTGAGGCTCGACAATGCACTGCCCCGTCTGCTTTGAATATCAAAGAAATGTAGTTCTAAGTCATTGCCTTTTTGTGTTAAAGTAGCTACCCATTTCTAAACTTGTTGTACGCTCTCTAATGAAGCTTCGCATGTATGAGGAGATGTTGAGCCCAAGAGTGCACTAGATGCTGTGCCATTGCGCAAGCTGGCGACCTGGGATTGGCCGGTGGACGCCTCGCCAATCAGTGCCCTGTCGCCTGCAACCGTTTTGCTCACCCAATTCTCAAAACGTGGCAAGGGTAGATCCCGAAAGTAGACAAGAGACCATTTGCCAAAGCATTGGACAAAACGAAATTTTGCTGCACCTGCAGACCAGCAGCGCCCGGGAGCTGCGTGGTTGTCGCCTGGCCCCTCCGCTGGCGCGCAGATTTAACGGCATCGGGTCGGCAACGATTCAGCAACATATGCTGCTCCCCCCAAACGCCCCGAATGAATCAGTTCCTCATCCCCCTGCAGGGGACGTCACACGACGTCCCTCGCACGTGGCGCCCAAAGGCGCACGTCTATCCATGGCTTCCTCCTCTTCTGCGAGGGTGCGCGCAGCAAACCACAATCCGCAGCCCTCGCCGCTGACAGGGGCCGCCGATCGACGGGTGCCCCCAGGCTGACCGACGCCCGCCTCAGACGCCTGGCTGGCAGATCTCTGCCAAACTCGCGGCAGAGCCATCTTGGCAAGCCGTCCCCATCGACCTTCAAACTGGATCAACGCCAACTCGAGGCTGCCGCCCAATCCCCTACCCGCTCACCCAGCCGCCATCTCCTTTGGGGAGGCGCACATCCACCCCCCCACCCCCCACACCCCCCGCCCCTCTTCCTCTGAAGATTCCACATCATCTTCTCACAGAATTGAACAGTCTCTCAAACGCACTTGCTTAGGAGCAGGTGCCTTTTGCATGACCTCTCCCTTCCCCTCTGCAACAAATCTTTCTGTTGCGTGACCTATTTCCCTGTCTCTCTGCAACAAATCCTTCCCACCCACCCACCACCCACCCACGCCTCACACTTTCGCGGCCTCAGGCACTCACACTTTCGCGTCCCGCATCTTGTTGGTGAGCTCCTGCATCAGGCACCGCTGCCGATCGGCCGCCCCGCCCGCCTCCAGCTCCCTGAAGCCCGACCGCAGCTCCTCGAAGAGGCCCTCCAGCAGGTCCTCCTGCTCGGTGCGCGGGAGGTCG